CATACTGATTGAGGCTCTATTATCAATAATAGCTTGATGAGATTTACTCTTAATTTTAATGTTGCATTTTACAGGTATAGTATGAGTTGAGGTTTAGATAGTAGTGCTAGGAGAGGAAGTTACAAAATTGGTTTCTATAGCAGTTTGCAATGACTTGTTAAAGAAATATGATTCAAATTGTTTATAATTATAATCAACAAGATCTGCAGTATAAGCTTCTCTAGAGTAAGGAGTGGAAGATCGACTTCGGGATCTGTTTCTGCTATTATTATCTCTGTTTCTATTTCTGTATCTATCTCATAATTGACTTCTCTCTTGGCTTCTATTTCTGTCATTATACCTGGAGTTATCATAGTGTCTGTTGTTATCATATAATCTGTTTCTTTTGCGAGACTAAGTATGATCATAATAATGATCATTATTTCTTCTATTATTTGACTATAGTTATTGTTAGAGTAAGAACTATTGTAGTGACTAGGTCAGGTGTCAGAATAGAAATTATGTCAGAAATCTTCTTTTCATTTATGACAATCTTTAATATAATGTTCATTTCTTCTACAGTAATAACAAGTAGTATCCTGTTGGTTATTGTTATCAAATCTGTTTCTATTCGAGTTATTTGAGTAGTAGATTAGTTTAGAGGTAGGAGTAGTCTATTTTTTAGTGAGGTTTATACTTAATTCAGCAATCTGCTTAGTGAGTTGTTCGATAGTTTTATCTGTATTAAAGTAAGTATTAGAGGCTATAAGTGTTCCAGTTTTCCATTATTATGCTGCATTTATTGCTACTGTTAGGTTTGCAGGTTCTGAAGCTTGAACATTTACTGAATATTCTGGTCAAAGTTCTTGTATGAAGAGTTGAGTTAGAAAACTAGCTAGGAAATTATTTTCCGAATCAACTCACTCTTTTAATTATTTAAATTTGTTAATATAAGTATCGACTGTATCTGAGCCTTGTTGAATAGCGAAGAGTTGTTTTTGCTATGTAGCTTTTTGTTGAGTAATGCAGAATCTTTCTCTAAACAAATAGTAAAAACTATAGACATTATGTTCATTAACTAACTGTTCATGCTATTGATGTCTAAAATGAGTAGAGGCATTGACTAAGCTTTGGAGCTATTCCTGAACATTATCAGTTAGGTAAGCAAATGCAAGTTCAAGTTGTTAGACAATATTCTATCTGTTAGCTTTAGCTGCTTGCTTAAAATTATCTAACCAAGTTATAGGTCTTGAGTTCTATTATCTTAAAAAGATTCAATCTTAAACAGAGTCTTTTTACTGCTAGCATCTAAGACTCAGGCTAATATAGTCATAGTATTGGTAGCATCTTGTAAAGCTTAGTTACTCATGTTAATATCTTCTAATTCATTAGTTTGAATAGTTTCATGGTCTGAATCTTCTTGTTAGTTTTCTACTTCTTAGTTATTATTTTCAGCGTCAAAGAAATTATCAAGATTATAGTCTTCTTAATTTTCTGGATTATTTAGAGAATTGTGATCAATTCTGAAATCATCTAAGATTTGGATGATATTATTGAAGAGCTAATTGAGTTAGTTTGGAAGTTGAATAGGTTAATAGGGAGGTAGAGAGTCAAGCAGAGTATGGTGTGAGGGAGAAGTGTTATTGAGGTCTAGGTTAGCTTGAGGATAATTTCCAAAGATTAGAAGGTTCCTATTAGGTGAAGTAGTAGTAGAGGTAAACTGATAAATAAAGTTAGTTACCGCTGTTTGAGAATTAATATTAAGATTGAAATATTGTTGGTTAGAGGTATTGAAAAGAGGAGTAAAAAGAAATTGTGAGGTGAGTGTAAATATAGGTAGTTCAAGGAGAATATTAGTTTAAGGTAGAGTAGGAGTTTGTTGTCTATCAAGTAGAGAAAATTGTATTTGAGTAATGGCTTTATTATAGGGGGTTAAAGAGATTGAGGTATGAGTTGCAGAGGTTATAGCTTGTTCTGGGTCTGTTAAGTATTTACTAACTACAGAGCTATATTTAAAATAGTCAAAGCTACTAGTATATTTGTTAGAGATAGGTGAACTAAAATTACCTAGAACTTCTGCTAGGATTCTATTTAAATAAGGGTTGAGAGTAGGAGTATTAGCAGGGAATTCAATATAGGTATCAAAAGCTGTGGCTTTAAAGCCAAAAGGAAAATAAGATTGTAAGGTGTATTAAGTATATTTAACTAGGAGAGTTTTAACAATGATTTTAGAGTTTTCTATAGAGGTATTATATCAGTAACTAAATATTATATCATGAGTTGCTGCTCTGGCTCTAGAGTAGGTAGAGCTATTAGTTAATTCCAGGTATACAGTTGCAGTTTGTTAAGAATAGAATTAGATATAGTAGGTTTGTTTATACTAATTCCAAAAGTTGCAATATGATCTGTGAAAGTTTGTTTCTGAATAGTATAGCTGACAAGATAAATCTGGGTTTAGGGTTTGAAGTACTGTATATGCTTGACTTGTATTTTGATGTCATAAATTATGTACTTGTATTCTTTCTATATGTATCTAATATGCTCTGTTCATATATGTTAGGTGATAAGATGCCTTATTTCTATACTTTAGATTATAGGATATTTGAGATTACAAATTAGAGTTTAGGATTACTTACGCCTAGTGTTGTATATGGATACTATTTGCACATATTTCTTGGACACGGACATATTCGGATATTGTCCAATGTTCGCGTCTACTACATATTTAAACAAATAGATTGTTATCAGACACTGTTCGCATGATACAGTATATGGCAGATGCGGACATCTGGCGGACATTGTCCAATGTCCAAGTATTTGATTGGTCAATAATCTCTTCGTATGATTATTGACCAATCAAATACTTGGATATTAGACAATGTCCACTGAATATTGTCCAACGTCCAAGCATTGATTAGATTAGATAATACAACAGAAATATCAAATGTCAGCAGTGGACGTTGGACAATGTCAGAATTGTCCCAATGATTTATTAGTGAGAGATTATGCACCATTTTCTTTTAATAGAATACAAGAAAATAAATTCTATATACAGTAATTATAACCGTAACGCTTTATAAACTCATGATATACTTTTTATTCAAAAAAATGCTGATCTCTTGAAAACTATAATCAAGATAAAGACTCATGATTATGTTATGTACTTTTTGTTCTAAAAATACATCTCTTGAAAACTATAACCAAAATAAAGTTTAAGATGATAAATGGCGGCTTAAAAAGAAAAAAGGCTTTTTTTTTTCTCTTTATTAAGTATGTGTTATGAAGTATTTTAAGAAATATATAATGATAACGATGATTTAAAAAGAAAAATGGCTTGTATTCCCCCTTTATTAAATGCTATATTGTTCTCTTATATATTTTAGAAGTGAATGTTGTTTTTTTATAATAAATAGAATGTTAATATAATGTTAGTGTATTAACATAACCCAAATCTTATAAAGTCTTGTTGATATTCTACTTCTGCTTGAGCATATATCGATACATTTTTTTTTTTTTTTTTTTTCACTTTTTAAATTGAAAAATATTACCAATCTAATAATGCTACCAATACCCAAATTATTAGACCTATATATCATTAAAAGCTAGGAAAAGATTAATAAAAGTAACATTAAATATTTTTGCGAGGCGTGCGTTGAAATACTAGGCGAAGATGAGGGAAAGAAAATTTTTTTTCCAAATAAAACCAATAGAATAATTTTGCACCTTAAAAAATGCGTACATTTTATTGAAAAAATGACGTCTGAGCAAAAAGAAAAAATCTTTGCTCTATCTAAAGATGATAAAACAAAACAGTCAAGTAAGAATTAGGTTCATGTAAAATCTATAATTTGAAATTAAATTAATATATATTTTTTATAGTTTCTCCAAGTTCATCTTACGACGCCATAACTACATTCTCTCAATCATCAGTCAGAAAAGTTTTACGATCCTCTTTGTATGAGCCTCTTGATCATTATATTGTTAGGCCATTGTCACATTCAGATAATGAAAAGTTTAAAATCCTTTTATTAAGATTAACGGTTTCTTGCAAGTGGGCGTTTAATTGGGTTAATAAACCTGAAGCACAAGAATTGTTTGAGTTTTTAAATCCTCACCTTAAGCTTCCAGATCGTCGAACTCTTAGTGGACAAATTTTAGAGACAGCAGTTTCTGAACATGATGTAGCCATGTATGAGGCACTTCGTGAAGATTTAATCGGCGAAACTCTCATATTCGATGGGTAGACAAATGTGAAGAATGAACAATTATTAGAGGTAATGATAATTACTTCGGAAGGAAGACCATATGTATAGAAGGCGGTAGACATTAGTTCAGAAAGAGAATCTTATGTTTCAGTAATGGAAAAAACAAATACAATGATTGAGGAGTTAAAAAGCATGAATATAAAAGTTTCAGCGGTCGTAACTGATAGTGCTGGCCCCTATGCAGCAGCTAGGTATTTTTTATTTGATTCCTTTACAATTTTAATCTTTGCTTATTTATTTTTGATTAACATTAGACGAAGGTTAAGGCTCATTCACAGAGATATCGTATTCCTACCATGCTATGCCCATCAATTAAACTTGTGCATTGGTGAAGTCTTTAAAGAATCTACTGACTTGAAGACTACAATGGATCAAGCATTACAGGTATATTAATAAAGTAAAGGCCATATAATTGTAACTAAAATTTTTTTATCTATTTTTATTTAGATTCTTGCGATTAATTATCAACTACCTTATGCCCAAAGTCGTCGAAGAACTAGTGAAAACCTCATAATTCATCGTAAAATTTTTGAAATAATTGACTCGGATTCGTTTTGGTCGAATTTAATTATCATTGCAGAAATCCTATATCCTTACTGTAAAATATTAAATATTTTACAATGCGACAATGCTAGATTAGTACAAGTCATACACAGTCTCGCATATTTAGTTCAATTTTGGAGTAATCATACTAACTCGTAACTTTCCGAAAAGATTTTATATAGGTTATATAAAAGATGGAATAATTAGGAACAACCCCTTTTAATTTTATCGTGTTTATTACATTCTAAGTATCAATTAACATATTTTAAGGATAACTCAGGTATTAATTATGCAAAATTAGGAAGGCATCTAATTTACTACTACAGAGCTTGGTCAGGGAAAGAACCAAATTGCATTTTAAGTAAATTTAATGATTTTTATATAAAAATTTATCCGTTCGATGACAATACTTACAACCAATTTGGTGATATTGTGAGGTACTGGAATTTTGCAGGAGCTTCAACGAATGAATTGGGATTAGTGGCTTGCAAATTATATGGGATTTGTGTCAATGCTGCCGCAGTTAAACGTCTTTGGAGTTGTATAGGATTTTACAAACAGAGCGGAGAAATCGACTAATTGTAATTTTTTTTTTTATTCTAGTTATTTTAAAATATCTAGGATATCTGATAAAAATTAATGACTACCAGCTGATTTGGTAGGTTTTTTTTGCCTTTATTTTTATCAGTACTATTGATACGAATTGACATGACTTAATCACTAAAAATTATCTTTCAAGTTCGGTCCAGTACACTTGTTTTAAAAAGATGCAGATTGATTAAAGTATTTCGCCTTATATAATTTCTGATAATTTGAGATATCGTCAATCAAAACGATACAGAGTGAGATCCAACAAATTGTTATACAAAATAACAAAAAATTATATCATATTTAATTGTAACATACCATAGAATATCACGTACATTAATAAGTAATAAACTTTTGAGTTAATTGTAAAGACTCAAAAGTTTATTACTAATTAATGTACGTGATATTCTATGGTATGTTACAATTAAACATGACATAATTTTTGTTATTTTGTGTAACAATTTGTCTCTGTATCATTTTGATTGATGATGTCCCATTTATAGTTTGAATTTTATTAACATTTATCTTATTTATTTAATTCGGTACATTAAGTTAATTTGACTTGTCCAAGATATTTTAAACCTGGTTGTAAATTTTGAGAAATTTCACCTAAACAAATTTTATTTTAGTCATCAAAAGCCCTCAATATGAGTAAATTGAAAGCAGCTATTACCTGAGAACATTCACGCAAATCTAATTTCATTGAATTATTTCTACCTAGTTTTTTAAAAGATGATGTTAATTATCAAATAAGCATTAATAATGAACATAATGAAGAGCTCGATGAAATTGTTTCTGAACCAGAAGGATCTGTGGATCTTTCCTCGAATGAAAATGATGAGGTTTTGGATTCAGATTCTTTAGAAGCAGAGTTTAGCCAATTTTTAGATGTATGAGTAGAGATATCGGCAAGAGAAATTGAGGAACTTACGAATACAGATGATGAGGATGATGAGGTGCTTTCTTCAGTGATTAAGGATATTATTCATCTGTCATTGGATCCTAAATCAAAATAGGATTTAAATTCTCTGTTTAATGAGTTGCAATTACCATCTTAATTTAAAGATCCGAATTAAATTATTAATCATTAAATATTTTTGTCATATAAGTAAAAAATCGTAACTTTTTTCATTCACAATAAAATCATGATTTTTATAACAGACAATAAGGTCTTACATAATGTGGTCTTGAATTATCTAGACTAGAATTATTCAATTTTTTTAGAGTTGAAGTTTTATCAGGTAACGATTACTGATATACAGTATACTAGTAGTTGATATTTGTAGATTGGGCATAATTATGTTAACTAAGACTTTTCTATTTTATATTAATCTTTCATTATATAGTATGCATGGAATTATATCTGAATTTGCTTCCAGAATTTAAATTTGTGCCGAATATTAGACATTATTAAGAGAATTTAAAATCATGTATGTCTAAAAGAGGCAATAAAAAGTGTAATTACATATACGAGAATAAGGGATCGGTATTTTATGCTAAGGCATATATTTCGGTTAAGTATCTACGTTTATTAGTTGTTTTAATTCATATCTAACTATTATCTTTTTCTCGAATTGATCTTAATAGTTGAACTTATAATTGATATGTTAAGTCAAAATTTAACTAAAGACTCTAAGATTGCTATATATAATAGAGATTATTATCATTATATAATTTGTGTTAGTTTAAATACATTAGAGTTTTTGTGGTACTGCTTATTTTGGTTATATGTCAGCACTACATTTATAAAGACTAATTCCATGTAACAATCATGAACAAATATATATCTGTCTAAGTGTAGTTGTTCAATT